TTATGTTACTGTTTTGATTGGTTATTACTGTTACAAGGGGTGTGGCTAAGTCAGCCCGGATTGTTTAAAAGAGAGCCTGTTGCTCTCCTGTTTTCATGTTTGTTCCTGCCTTGTTAATAAAAGCTGAATCACTTATTAAGAGTTGCTGCCTTAAGTCTTGTACTTAACAAATAGAATGGATGTTGGTAGTTTGCCAAGATCTGTAGAGATCCATTCTGTTCTGTGCTTTGACCCCTTTTTAGTATCCAGTAACCCTATCTAGTATACTTCCTTTACTAACAGTGTAGAGAAATAGAAGATTTTCACATTACCATTCTAAATCGGCTGTTATTCATTGTTGGCCCAATTTTGAGTAAAGTGATACAGAGACGGTGGTTTCATACAATTAATTTCCTTTAATTAATGAGATATCTCTGAAGCACTATGGTAATTTCAAACAGTGCCACTTTTCCCCCCACGTGATCTTCCTCAGTGTTTGTTTTTTAACATTCTATGTTGAGTGTAATTGGGCTAAACCAATATAGCATTTCAGTGCTATAGTGGCATCACTGAGATGCCTCTACTCCAGAGTCAATGTAGAACGTAAAAAAAAGGGCCATGGAAGATTGTGTGGCAAAAAAGGGCAGGGGGGAAGCAGCACTGAAAGAAACACTGTGGACATTTTAAACAGCACACCACAGCAACTCAGAAGCACAATGAAAGGGTAGAAAGCAAAAGAAAGCAGTTTCCCTCAAAAGCGGCTCAACCACACTTTACAAACCCGCTTGCACCAGGTTAGTATGAACAGGTAAATAAATTCCGCCAGTAGCCAGTTACTAAAATCGGTCTGTCTGAAATGACAGAAAAAATCCATTAGCAACCACTTACTAAAGCAGAATACAAAGACAGTTCGAAAGTGGCCATAAAGACCCTTGTGTCTCACAGAATGAAGTGTTGACATTGTTAGAATCCTCAACAGTGAGCTAGAGCTCTCTGATTTGAAATATGGCACACAAGTATTCCAGTGCCTCGGGACTACTGGAAAATTTGAAAACAAGATATTTGTTCATCTCTTCTTCAAATCAAGGTGTCCAAAGTATACCTGGAAATGGCTGTGGTACTTTCAGGCCACTTTTTAAGATGAAGGTATACATGTAGCCCAAGACACACTGCAAATGTCTCAAAATTGGACATTTTTGCATTTAGCAGCTGAGCCATGGAACATGGCTTGCACTGGTGCCTGGAGCAAGGCAAGTTGCATAAAGGATGCAATAGCAAAGATGCTTGACTTTGGGGATGAGGCATTTCCATGATGACCTAGGAACACAGATACAACCTTACAACTTCATTTACTTGCATGTTTTATATACATATCTTTTATCTATAATTTGATTTAACCCCTTTTAAATCTTGGCATGCTACCGCACTCTAAAACAGGGATCCCCAGCCTTTTTGATCCTGTTGGCACCTTTAGAATTCTGACACAGCATGGTGGGTGCAGCCACAAAATGGCTACTAAAGTAGGTGGAGCCAGCCACGAAATGTCAGCACAGCAGTTTAACTTCACACAGTAAAGATCCTTGTTCTAAAACTTGACCAAGAAATAGAAATCAGCATAGTGCTATGTACCAGGAAGGGAACATGGTTAGCCCCTATCCCAACGCAATATTCTTTTTCTTTCTCATAAACATTGGATTGCTGCCATTAATTTCTGTAGAGAAAAGTAAAGTGCTGTGTAGAATATAGAACAAGTGAAGAGGATGTACATAGAATATTGGGAAAGAGAGTGGGAAGAAGTGGGGCCCGACAGAGGACTTGAGGAGGACAAGAGAGGAAAGTTAGCAACTGGAGGAAAAGCTTGATTATTGAGGTTAATCTGAGAGATTATGGTTGAAAGATTTGAAAACAACCTTGCAAGCAATGCACATTGTGAACAGGAGTGGTTTGGGGGCTGAAGTTCATTTGTTTGTCTTTATTCATTGCTATAATTGCTACTTACTACATGGGGCTATCTGTTTAAATTCACAGGGGAAAGAAATATGGTCGCATTCACAACTTTACGATTGGCAGCGAGTGTGCATCTCCCCCTGTAAATGATAAGAAACTTCAATCACTACAGCTATGCTTTGGAACGAGTTCCTTATCAGGAGCTAGGCAGACTAGGCATATTACTCCCATTCTGCAGTAACTCCCTTGGCTGCCAATCAGTTACCAGACTAAATTTAAGATATTACCTATCTCCCTTATAAATAAAAGCCGAATGGTGGTGGCACTTCTCTAGAACATTCCACACGCTCCAAAATCAGTTCGCTCTCTGATCTGTCATTCAGAGGGTCTCCCTATCCACTGGCTGCTTTGCCTGAGTCCTGCCTCCAACATTCTAAACATTTCGCTGTTCCCCTCCCCCCCATAGCCAGTCAGAACACAGAGGTTATTTGCATATGCAGCCTCATTGACCTTTGCCTTGGAACACAGATGTCGTTTGCATATGCAACTTGATTGGCTTTTGCCTCTAACATTCTAAACAGTTTTCTGTTCTGAGGTAAAATGTGTCCAATCTCCAGGTGAGGGCTGGAGATCACTCAGAATTACAACTGCTTTCCAGATGGCAGAGATCAGTTCCCCTGGAGAAAATGGTGGGCTCTGTATCCTTATATGCTGCTGAGGTGGCCCCTGTATGACAACCAATGTGACGTAGCAGTCAGGGCTTCAGAGCACGGGAGAGGCTGCAGTTGTGTGGGGGGTGGAAAGCTGAAAAGTGAGAGGGAAATAAAGGTAGGTCGATGATTGGCTGGGAAGGAGATAGGGTTGCCAAGCCAGGTGGGAAATTCCTGGAGATGTGAGAGATGGAGCCTGGAGAGGGTGAGGTTTCAGGAGGCGTGGGACCTCGGACAGGTACAAAGCCATAGACTCCACCCTCCAAACCAACTGTTCTTTTCTGGGGAACCATCGTTGCCAATCTCCAGGTGAGGGCTGGAGATCACTCAAAATTACAACTGTTCTTTAGGTGGCAGAGATCAGTTCCTCTGGAGAATATGGTGGACTCAGTGTCATTATACCCTGCTGAGGTTGCCACAGCAAATTGACACTGAGTGTCCAAGGCTGGGGCACCCGTCCAGAGCCTCTTTGTATTTATTTTTCCTAGTCACATATAAAGCCCTTCATGGCCCGGGTCCCTCATATCTACAGGACCACCTCTCCCCCTATGCACCATTACAACAACTTCAGTCATATAAGCAAGGCCTTCTGCAGATGCTACCTTGCAAATGGGTAAAATCAACATCTGCCTGTATAACATACATTCTCCGTTGTGGTCCCCACCTTATGGAATGGCCAGCCTGATCACAGTAGGTTAGAAAGGCCACCCCTCTCCTGGTTTTCTGCAAACTGTGCAAAACTGACTCATTCAAGAGAATTTTTCTTACACGGATAATAGGGCTGTACAAAATAGTTCAGAAAGATGCTTTGGTAAAGGGAGTGGGATTGTGGACTATTGCTGTAAGCATGCTCCTACTATGTAATATCTGTATAAGTTAATGGGCCATGTGTAAATGCCTCTGGTCTGTTTCAGCTTTGTTACAGATTTCTGCTTGTTTCAGATTTTTGCGATCCAAACCCGTTTACTGGCTGTCCCATCCTAGTGATGTAATCCACTTTGAGTTTTAGTGAGAAAGGTGGACTATGAATAACATAAATCGCTAAAAGCTTGCCCTGTATTTCTCACACTAGTGGCTCTTCCACATTCTGATTTGCATCACTTCCATGATCCTATTGCTTCAGGGTTCCCCCCCCCCCCAATGTGTTTTGCTCTCTCTAGTAGTCCCAGAGAGAGCAAAACACATGTGGAAAAGGGGGGACGGACCCAAAGCAATAGGGACAAAAATGAAAATGTGGAAGAGTCCTAGGTGGTCCAGATTCCACATGCATCATTTGGGGACCTGCGTTTCTCCTCCCATGCTGAAAACCGCAACAGGGTTAGAGAGAACAAGAATATATTTCTGACACAATTTGAAGAATTTATTTATTAGGCCACCCTTCCCTGCAAGCAGAGCTCAGGGCAGCTTACATCAGAACAAACACAATAATAATCCACTTAAATAACATTAAAACTGCTAAAAACATTATATTACTCAGAATATTGTGTTTTTTAAAACTTACGAGAAAATGGCTCAAAATTTAGAGCAGTATGCTATGGAGCTATAAACCCTTTTCGTTTGGGAGCTTGGACCCTGGAAACAACTCTTTAAGAACCCGTACAAAGGTGTGATGTTTATTTCTTCGGATGAGTCAGGTGAATTCTTTGAACTCTGTGGAAAGATGACTTCTTTATACAGCATCACCTTTCTATGCCCCCCCCCCTCTTTTAAGGAAATATCCCCACCCCTTGTTTGGGAAGCTTTCAGTCGCATGAGTTTTGAAAAGCTAAGCCAACCAGAAGAGACGAGACCTTTAAAAGAAACTGGAATATAGTTGTGGCACCTATCGTATCGAAACTATGCCAATCTGGTTTAATTCCACCAAATCGCCTTGGCTAGAAAGGCGACTCGAACTTCCCAGATGAATCACGAGGGGTAGCCGTGTCTGTCTGCAGCAGTAGAAAGAGCAAGAGAGTCCAGCAGCCCCTTAAAGACTAACAAAACATGTGGCCGGGTATGAGCTTTCGTGAGACACGAAAGCTCATACCCGGCCACCTATTTTGTTAGTCTTTAAGGTGCTGCTGGACTCTTGCTCTTTCCCAGATGAAGAAAAGCAGAACAAAATGGCAGGCCTTTCCCCACAGTGAGTGACTGATCCCCCTGATGAGCGTGTGGTGTTTCGTGCTTGTTTCTTGGGGGGGCGTAAGACCGCTTCAGAACAGGGACTTCTTTTCCGCCTCCGGCACTGAAGCAAAGGCCGCTCTCGCCCCAGTTGCTGGGGGGGGGGGACCGCAAGGCTGGTTGCGGAGAAACGAGGAAAAGCCAGCCCAGATGGC